TTTTTTTTTTTTTTTTTTTGCTTGGGGCGGCAGAAATGCTGGAGCCGGCCCTGGTTAGGACTTAAGCATAGGCCCAAAGGTACAAGCAGCATAACTGTGCTTCTGACAATAGGGTTTTAGATTTTTTTCAAGCCAGAATAAGGTTTGAGATTTCTTCTTGTCAGTCTGGCTTTGGAGCAAGTTGAGAGGATTTGTGATATATGAAATATTTTTTCTTAAAAAAAGGGGGCAGTTTGGCAAATGACAAAGGACTTCAATCTTTCTTCTTCTCTATCACCTTATTCATATCTCCACCTTTGTATACATGTCAATAGATACATACAGCAGAACACTTCCTCCAAATCTCACCTCAAAGTGGTAGCTGCGATTACAGATGAAGCAGTTGTAGCCAAAGAGTCCAGATAGCTTTCACATTTTTGATTTGCTGTGATGGTGAAGAGAGGAAATAAGGGTGTAGGGGGAATAGGATTCCTTATAGGAGTGCTCCGTGGCTCAAGATGAGATCCATGCATTCCCCGATGGCTAGAGATTTCTAGAAGGATTCAGGTTTGGTATGAAGCATGAAGGCACAATTCCAAGAGTATTTTTACATAATGAGAGAGCTCAAATATTACAAATATCCCTTCCTTATCCATATTAGCCTATAATTCCCATTTGCCTCCTCATCTTTGAATTTCAGGAGACCTTTGAAAATGAGCTCTGCATATTGCCTTAATTTTCTCCGCTAATCAGGAAAACTAATTTTTCCCAGATCATTTTGGGCAGCTGAACTTCAGTTAATTCAATTATATTGCCCAATTCTTTTTTTCCTTGCTTGCTTCTTGCACCATAGTATAGTCTGGCTTCATACAATGTTTTGTTTGCTTGATTGGGTATCATCTATAGGCTGTAGCAACACCATTAAGAACTTCGATAAAATCTGTTCTGTTTGCTCAACTTCTAAAAAAGATCAGCAGCACAGTTGACAATAAGAGTAGAGACTAAGGAGTTTGGTCACTTCTGCTCTCCTCATCCGGAGCCTGAGGAGGAAGCCCTCAGAAATAGGTAATAGAATGCAGTTATCTGCATTCATGGAGTATTAGGAGTGATCTGGGCCTTATTCAGCCTGCCAGTGGGGTGAGGGAACAGGGTATACTCAGGATCTGTCCCTTCATGCCAAACAGTGCACCAATAGTATCTGCTCACACACAGCTTCACAGCTGCTGTGCCTGTTATTCTTGCTTCATGTTCTTAAAGCTTTTTTATCACAATCCTTAGAGACAGATGAGTTATACAAGAAGATCGGGATGACCTTGTAAGCTGAACTAATAGAAATGGGATGAAATTTAATAGTGCAAAGTGCAACACCCTGCTTTTGGAGACTAAGCAAGAAGAATTTTTGTTATAAGCTGGGAGCGTATCAATTGGAAGTGACAGAGGAGAAAGACCTGGGTGTATTGGTTGATCACAGGATGACTATGAGCCGTCAATGTGATGCAGCCGTGAAAAGGGCTAACACAGTCCTAGGATGCATCAGGCGACGTATTTCCAGTAGAGACGGGGAAGTGTTAGTACCATTGTACAAGGCACTGATGAGACCTCATCTGGAATATTGTGTGCAATTCTGGTTTCCCAGATCATTTAGGAAAGATGAATTCAAACTGGAACAGGTGCAGAGAAAGGCTACTAGGATGATTTGAGGAATGGAAAACCTACCTTATGAGAGGAGACTCAAATTGCTTGGCTTGTTTAGCCTAACCAAAAGAAGGCTGAGGGGAGATATGCTTGCTCTCTATAAATACATCAGAGGGATAAATAAGAGGGAGGAAGAAGAGTTATTTAAATCAAGCATCAATATGGACACAAGAACAAATGGATATAAACTGGCTATCAACAAGTTTAGGCTCGAAATTAGGCGAAGGTTTCTAACCATCAGAGAAGTGAAGTTCTGAAACAGCCTTCCAAGGGAAGCAGTGAGAGCAAAAAACCTAACTGGCTTCAAGACTGAGCTTGACAAATTTATGGAGAGGATGGTATGATGACACAGCCTACAAGGGCATGTAGCCGATCTGCAACTGCTAGAAGCAAATATCTCCAGTGGCTGGTGATGGGACACTGGATGGGGAGAGCTCTGAGTTACTACAGACAATTCTTTCCCAGAATTCATGTATCCTGCAGAATTTTTTTTCTGCCAAAGAAGTGCTGCAGTTCCACCTTTTTTTCCCCACCAGAGGCCCCTGTGGTGCCACAACAGCCAGCTGTGTTTATGTTGCTAGCTGTTGTGGCACCACAGTGGCCTCTGGTGGGTGAAAGGTGGAACTGCAGCACTTTGGCAGAAATGTATTTTCTGCAGGAAAAAAAATTCTGCAGGATACATGAATTCTGAATATCTGCAGATGTGCAGAATTCCTGCAGGAGTAGATTAGAAATAATCAGTTCATGGATCCCAGTCCTGTATTTTTCCCCAATAGATCATACATTTTTCTTTATAGCCATTAAAGAGTGGTTATAGTCAGAAAAGTGACTCTCTAATTAACACATATTCAAGGTCATTTAAAATTTCACAAGGGGAGGCTTTCTTGTAGAACTCACGGAAAAAAACACAGATTTCATTTTCAATGTAATAAGACAGAAGAAAAGTTTCGCTAGGCATTGTCTGACATTTCATAAGAGTGTTTGCTCTATCAAGCAAAGTGATTATTTTAATTACAGGATCAGAGAAAAGCCAACTCGTGTTCATACCTGTAAGTGCCACCGTATGTCCTCCACCACAAGCTACCTTATTAACCCTTTCCAAAATTCCAGGAACAGGCTGTGGAACCCTATTGTTTTTCAGTTGTTCAGGCAGCAAACCTAGCTTCCCATTCTCAGGCTCTCCAAAAGTGTAGAGCTCACCATCTCCTGTGGAAATACAAAACAGAGCAGGATTCATAGTACTTCACTAAAAGGCAGAGCTGGGCCAAGTTATTTTCTCATGCTTTCATGATTTGTAAAGTACCCGTTGCTTTTTGGACTTTTGTTTTAAATTATCAATCAAACAAAATGAGAGTTGTAACATTTCCCTATGTGAGAAGTCTGTCAAGAAGAAAACCTAAACAATACTTGATTCTGAGAGGTGTCAATGCATCACAGCTCCCATTCTAGTCACTATACAAGTCAATTGGAGTTGCTTGCAGGGGTCTTAGTAAAGACTGGCCCTACTAATGGGATACATGTTTTGTTTGAAAGTCCATGCTCTCCTCCGATGGAGAGTGAGGGGACAGAATAGGAAAGCAGTGCAAATATTGTAAAAAGGTTTGTTAATGAGCTACATAACAAGAAAAGAACCACTGTTCTGAAGACTAGAAATAGATGGCACTATATCTATATAGTGCTCCAAGGTTCACTATGGCATTATCTCCATCAGAAGAGATTTCTCCACCTCAGTATTACATAACAGCTTTCTGGTCAGCCCAGCAGTTAAATAAAAGAAAATCCTTCCCAGACACCTAGACTTAGTTTTACGGGCACCGGGTTCGCAATCTGTTCAATCCTAAATACAGCAATCCATTCTTTTATAAAAGAGTTTCCTCTGTTTTAACACTTTTCAGTTTCCACCCTGTTTTTTACGTCAGTCTGAGTTATCTAATCTGGGCATCTGTTTAACCTTCTACTATATTGATAGAAGAGTTAAAAATGTCAAATTTACTGTCTAATGCTGTGCCAGTCTTTAAATTCCAACCTGATTTTCTGTTCCAAAAGCTGTGTTAGCATTCTGCTATCCTAGGTAAGAGCTAGGTCAAGTGGGAGAGATCTTTGGTTTCTGGGTGAAGCTCCAAGGACATAGCTATGGGTCTCCACCAAGCCTGAAAGAGGTCGGTAGAAACATTTCCCATAGTACTTGAGTTGCTCCTTAGAACTGATGTTCACATTGAGACTCCCTCTATACCTGAAGCATCCAAATGCAGTCTTTTTTTTTTTTTTAAAGCCACAATTAGAGTTACTCCATGATGGTGCTCTGGCAAACTGTAAAAGCAATAGGCATTTAGCCAGTCATAAATAACAGGAATCAAGAGGCCTGGGTTCTATTCCCAGCTCTGCACTGACCAGCTGGGTTATCCAGCACTCTGTGGCTGTTTCTGCAATCATAAAGTGGGGACAATGAAACTTACTTTCCCCTTTTTAAAGCATTTCTATGGATAAAAATGCTATATAACAGCTAAGTATTACGAAAAGGTGTTTACTGACTAGGGGTTTGACTCAAAACCTATTTAAGTCAAAAGGAAACTTTCCAATGAAGCAGAAAGAATCACCATAAAAATTATTTACATCTCCATATATCCTCTAAGAAACAGTTTGATTTTGTTTTTTAATCACAGCTGGATTTACCAAAGCAAAAAGATAAATAAATCTCTCATATGAAACAAATCCAAGACAAAAATGTTTAGACTAAGGGCTGGGTGCTCAGGGAAACGTGTTAATTATGTGGCTGTAGCCATTATTTAAAACACTGGGCAACTGTCCCATTATTGAAGCATAATTATAGATATCTATCTAGAGAACATTTCTGAGATATACTAATTTTCCATAATTATAGCCCAATAAACTTAAGCATTAACAAACCACATTTATAGAATTAAGAGGAAGTATTAATACACACAGCAAATGTTAAAGGATCATATCCAAATGCTATGAATTCAAACACACTTTCATAAAACTACATTTTAAATGCTCTTGATACACACAAATCAGACTCTAAAACATGAGCCCATAAGTAACTGCACAGTATATAACACTATATTTCCTTGTATGGCCCAAGCAATTTTACATTAGAATCCTTCCCTCATGTTTATCCCTTTCCCCATCTCTGTCATTTGGATTTTGAGGTCCTAAGGGCAACAACCATGCCAAAACCAAATAAGTCTAGAGGACAGAAATTGAAAATAATAAGGAATTAAAAATAATCACATACTCAAACTCAAAATAGAAACAGGTAGTTAAGCCTACATACACACTTGTCCAAAGCAAATGGGTATGAATAAAATCATTAAAAAGCAAGGTTAATAAAATCAATTACCAGTTCCAAAGCCTACTGAAGTCAATGAAACCTAAATGGGCAGAATAGGCAAAAGCAAGGAATTAAAATGTTTTTTTATTTTGAAAAATGAAAAAGTAGGCAGAGTTCAAACGAAATGCACCATTTGTGTTGCATGCATTCCATTTCCCTCTTCCCTTTATCAAATCCTTATTCAGCTTTTACTCCGGTAAAACACTCACTGAGTGTATAGAGCTGTGGCTCAAATTAATTGCTGAGGTAATTCTATTTAAATCATCTGAATTGCCCAGGGCTGAATTTGGCCCATTGTGTTTTTCTGCTGAGCCAATGTTAAATTTTGTGGAATTTTGGTTTCTTAGTTATTTGGGGCTAGATTGTGTCAACAGCAGTTAGTGGGTGGCAAAGGGTAGCACAAAGCCTCCTATCCCAGGAGAAGGACTAGATTAGTCAGAGAAGCAGAATGCCACCAGAAGCTCGTACAATATGCAGCACTTCTTCCTGCCACCACCTCCTCGGAGGAAGTAATTAGGGAACAGTCCATGCACTCCTCCAAGTGCAAATCTGCCTGAATCTTGCACAGGATACACAAATGATTTTTCAAGACAGATTTTTTTCTTCACTTTTTTCCTCCTTTATAGTGCTGGTACAGGGCAAATATAAGGTTGTTTGCATGCCTTAACTGGGAATTTCTTACTTTAACATAAGGGTACACTTTAAAAAAATACAGTTAACACTGAAATTCCTGGTTTATATTGCTGATTTGGGGGATAATTACAACATACTGAAACATTGTTTACCCCTAAATTACTGATACTTCTTCTCAATCTTCGTTCCATTTTAAAGCAATTTTTTCTCTGGGAATTTCCCTAAAGAGTGTCCACACATGAGTACTAAAAAAGAAATCCCCAAACAATGCTAATATGCAATATTTCTAATGATCTGAACATATGTAGTATTAACCTTAAATCATTTAAGTTTTAACATAAGGACACATTCATTGGTACAGCAAAGTAGCCAGAGTGCACTGACCCATTAAGTTTGTCTCCCCAGAGCACCACAAAGCAGCTGAAGTGTTCTGGTGAATCTGGCCCTTAATGTGCAACTGATTTAGGCATTTAGAAGGCTGTGTTCACAAAATCGGTGCTAGATCAATTCCCAATGACACTCTGCTTTAATGGCTTCTCCTACACTCCTGCCTCCCACTTCCTCAACAGTGCTTCCTCACTGTGCGGTGGAGACAAGGCAGCAGTGCTATCAGGTCAACCAACTGACACATAAGCCAGCTGGCAGCTACAGAACCTTTAAAGAGCAATGATCACTGGACTAAATCTGCCAATTTTATACAGCTCTCTCAGTCTCCTTCATACCACTGAGTAATTACCATCAGTAGAAATGCTGAATTTAATTCAGCTGTAGAAGAAGGGTGGCAACTAGTTGAGTTACCATTGACATCACAACAGCTCCACTTAAGAGTTACCTGGGCTGTTGACTTGAGACTGTCTGTAGCCTATCATTAATACATTAATTACAATCTAATTTCTTCAAATACAGCCTATGCACAAGATATCAATTAATTTTAACTATATGAAAAGTTTGAAGTGTGTGTTACTCTGTTGCTAAGATCCTTTGGGACAAAAAAGACAGGCCCCAGATGCTAAATTTCATAAAGAACCCAGTTTAATTCATCTGAATGCAAAAAGCTAATGGATTTATTTGTATATCCTCAGAAAATTAATTCTGTACTCAAAAAGTAAGTGTTGTAAGTTTGAGGAGAACACCTGTAAAACAGAGTTGAATCCCTGCGTTAAGTGCAAAATGGATCACTACCTTAACTATGGAATCACAACTAGTGCCTCCATAACAAAGATAATGTGAAAACTGTAACCATTCCTAAAGTTTCTGTAAATCCATTAGATAATCTAACACTTTTTGCAACTTGGGGTCAGACTGATACAAAAGAGGCTGCAGCACCAGGCTCTTACTTTGGGATTCTGTTAAGGATTCTCAGAGAGGCCCCAGTGTTTTGGGGTGAAAGAAGAGAAAGAAAAGAGTAAAACAATGGCTGCAAATGTTGAAAAACAAGAGTCATTATTTTTATGCATATATATTTAAGTGTATCTCATTTATTTCTAGAATCAAGTCAGTGAGCTACTGGCTGTTAGAATCTCATGTGCAGCTCTCTCTCAAAAGAAGCTAAAGCATTCTTTTTTAAAAATTTAAAATTTAAAGCATTCTTTTTAAAAATCAGCATCCATTTTTCATAAATCTGGAAAAACACCAGTGCACCATATCTATTAACCTGCTCACAATCCTAATTAATGGGGTTATAGATTCAAGTGGTCAATCTTCCATTAACTTCCCAAACTAACCAGGCTTATTCAATTTCTTTTCTAAACTTCATAATCCAGCTAAGAAAGATAGCCCCAATTACTACAGTAAATTTGTGAATACATTAAGAAGACCCTCTTGGGCAAAAGCAGTTTAGGAAATGTTGAAGCATAACTTTCAAATAAACATAAGAAGTCCTACAAAGCTCCAAAGTCAGGTGATTTGAGTACAGTTTTACAAATATATTAAGTTTAGATATTTGGCAAGTCAAATCCATAATGCTTCTATCTAATATGATTATTTACTCGGCTTTTCTAATATCAAATCTCTCAGTTAGATAAAATTCTCCCAAATGTCTCAAAAAGGTAAAATTCTTCCTAATGTGAAGGGCCCTCTGTCCTACTACACCCTGGCCCAGAGGGGCCTATCTTAGAAATGAAAAGGGAAAACTGCCCCCCCCTCCCCCCCACTGAGAGGGGTTAGGAGGGGGATCTTCATGCCAACCCACATAAGCCAATAGAGAATAGGCACCAGGAAGGTAGGCCAGGGAAGACAACATAGGAATTGTGTTTACAGATCCAGTAGCCCCAGGATTCCACACATGGTGATCCAGAGGAGCTGAAGCATTTATTGCAGCCCAAATCAGCTGAAATAGCTAGAAGAAAAGGAACTCAATATCTGAAAGTGTATTTGGAAAGGATGGACCTTGGGGTACATGCTAAGGCTCTTACTGACCACTGATGTGGCTAGAGAGGTTAACAGAGGAACCAACAACATTTGCTGTGAGCATAAGCAAACCCTAAGTGCCCAAGAGCAACCAGAAAATTATTAGTGAAGTTTCAGAATTCTTTAGGAAGCTGAGCTTCTACACAAGGAATATTCTTATGCGGAGAGCCATTCCATGCATGGTCTGGAAGTAGAGGAGGCAGTCTACATACTAATGACCCTTCTATATTTTTGTCCAAACAGAGCTGGTCAAAACTTCTCAACTTCCAACATTTGGATAATAACTGGGGGGGGGGGGTAAATGATGACATTTCTGGACTCTTCCCCCCCAACAAGCTTTTGGGAAGTTAGTGGCCCTAATGGAACAGAGAAAGATTTGGTGCATGCTCCTACAGAGACATTCATGGGGCAGGGACAGGGACAGAGAGCAACAACAGTCAGGCTTCCTACATTTCTGTAGCCAACATAGTGCTCATGGACCTAGCCAGGGATGTACCTGGGGACTCCCTTCAGGAATTTATCTCCTGTATCATTTGCAGTTAAGAATACTCTTTTCCTTTTTGGAATCATTCAAGAAGAGAGAGCACAGTCTCCACTTCTACTTCGACTATTGGCACAACTTTACGGGATACGTGACATGACTTGAACATTCCTTTCCTAAGGCCTGGTCTACACTAACCCCCCAATTCGAACTAAGGTACGCAACTTCAGCTACGTGAATAACGTAGCTGAAGTCGACATACCTTAGTTCGAACTTACCGCGGTTCAGACGCGGTCCACACGCGGCAGGCAGGCTCCCCGTCGACTCCGCGGTACTCCTCTCGCCGAGCTGGAGTACCGCAGTCGACGGCGAGCACTTCCGGGATCGATTTATCGCGTCCAGACCAGAAGCGATAAATCGAACCCGGAAGTTCGATTTCCAGCCGTCGAACTAACGGGTAAGTATAGACCATCCCTAAGTGATTCTGAAGGCTATACCTCTGGATCAAATAATAGCACCTCTCACACAGCAGAGGTCTATGAAGGAACTTGGTGAAGTGAGGGCTTCCGAGCTTGACTGAAAACAGTTCCATGAAAATAAGGAACACACATGAAAGGGACCCCTGGGAACCTGCAAAGCACTCTTTAGAGGGGCTTCTCCAAAGGTTTCTACCTATGTCAATCAAAGAATCATTTAGCAAGGATGCCATCGTGGGGGCTTGAAAGTCTATCTTACCTGCTTCTGGCAAGGGAAAAGCCCAAGGGGAGTTCTAATCCAAAACATCATTCAAATTCTCCTTTGACTCAGAGGATCCATTTCTGCATGGGGGACCAGGGTAGTGGGCAGGCACACCAGTCCCCTCAGCCCATTCTTGTGCAGAGGGGGTATCTGCATTGCAGAGGTAGGCCATGTCTTCCATCTATTCCCAGAAGCACCTCCTTGGTTATAGATTTGGCAAGAGAACCCAATAGATATGACCCTGAACAGTGTCATCACAAAAATATATATGAAATTTTAGTCCTACCGCTGAAAGGGCAGAAAGAAAGAAAGAAAAGACGGCAAACACACTACAGAAAAAGTCCAAATAGGACTAAAAGCCAAAAGCCATCTTTGCTGCTTCTCCTCAGTGAAACGAGAAAAAATTGAGAGTGGGAGAAAAGGAGAGCAGCCAATGATCCAAAGACTACAAAGAAAGTAACTGGCCATCTTTCTGCCTGATCTGCATATGGAGAAGACCTATCAGTGGTAGTGGCTAGACCAAAGCTCAAAAGATTTATTATTATACACTTTTGGCCATATTCTGCTCTCACAAATGTGCACAAAGCTCTTCTTGGCTTCAGTAGGGCCCACTTACCCACATGGTAGAATTTAATCCATTAAGTTAACATGAAGCTTCTTTGACACCAGATACACTATATCCCTCGTCAGATATCTGACTGCTAAAACACTTACAAAAAAAAAAAAGTTAAATATTTTTCCATGGGCCCAACACCTTGATCTAGTACAGGGGTCGGCAACATTCGGCAAGCGGCTCGGCAGGGTAAGCACCCTAGCGGGCCGGGCCAGTTTATTTACCTGCTGACGCGGCAGGTTCGGCCGATCGTGGCCCCCACTGGCCGCAGTTCGCCGTCCCGGGCCAATGGGGGCGGCGAGAAGCAGCGCGGGCGAGCGATGCCAAACGTTGCCAACCCCTGATCTAGTACTTCCATGCTGAGAAAGTCTATCAAGTCTGACAGCTAGGACTATTAAGTATGTGCAAGTATCTCTCAAACCTCTCTCCTGGGTTAAATTGTCACAGGGCTAAAAAATTTGGATTATAGTTCTACTAAATTCTACTGTGGCCAAATTAGCAACTCAATTTTTGGCTCCATATCATAGTAAGCTATCAAAAACCATTTGTTCATCAAGTATTTAGTATACTACCTTCTCGCTATGCCCTGGAAGAGCTGGGGGGTTTTGACATACACATCTACTTGTAGATTGTGGTGCTTGGAAGCTGAAGAATATTTAATGGCTGCTAAACTTCTTGGTCAATCATAAGCATTTAACTTATTTATTTTAAGAAAGCATCATTAATACAAAGTTGCATACTATAGGCAAAACACCCTACTACATATACTTTATAGTCACGGAATGCTTTCATTCTGTTCATGGCATACTCTCAGGGATCCACACAGATGTTATCTGTAGAAATCTGTCATTTATCAAGCAGGTTGAGTAAAGCACCAGATGTAGTTTCTGGATGCCTGTTAAAAGCTCTGTAATCCAAAATTATTGATCTATTGAAGTCTTTAGTACTCTATTGGGACTGAGATAAGATTAAAGACTTTGTATTATTTGGGGTCCACACATATGATGAGAATAAATAGTTGCCCATGCCTTTAATATCATTTTCACTTTAATTCAATCAAATCAGGCAATGTGATTTTGGGGAGGGGAGAGGGGAAATGAGCTATAGAAATGTCAGAGTGCCTCCTAGCCCAAATCTTGCACAGTAAAAATTATCTGTATATTAACTGTCATTATTTCCCTGAAGGAAACACAGATCTTAACAGTCTTTGCAGATTCCTCCCTTCTTTGCCTCCTTTGAGCTGCACATATCTTCATAATTCTCTGCAAGCTTATGGGTTTTCATGGGTGGATTATTGCTTTTGATACATTATGCTCCCTGTTAAATCTTTTGATGCTGCTTTGACAAAATTCCAGATGTCTATTTTCAGCATGCTTTCTAAAAATATTTAACTTTTTTTTTTATTGTACAGCTGTAAACAGCCATACATAGCACTCATTCCCTGAAGACATTTCTACTTTATACAGCATATGTTCAGTTTGCCCCAGAAATTCAAATTTATAGCATCAAACCTTGACAATTAAGGCAGCGATTTAGCAGGAAAGATGCATTTTCCTGAAAAATGTGATAGGTGCCTATTCGAGATTTGCATTTTTTGGAGAAGGGAGGGAAAGGCAGAAGAGAAGAGGGTCAGTACACATGAGCAAATATGAATAGTCTCAGAGATGCTGGATTATTGAACAAAATAAAAATTGAATTCACCTAAGGGGATAGCTCAGTGGTTTGAGCATTGGCCTGCTAAACCCAAGGTTGTGAGTTCAATCCTTGAGGGGGCCATATAAGGATCTGGGGCAAAAATCTGTCTGGGGATTGGTCCTGCTTTGAGCAGGGGGTTGGACTAGATGACCTCCTGAGGTCCCTTCCAACCCTGATATTCTATGATTCTAAGGCATTTGTCGTATGTCTCACTAAAATAAAATCAGTGTGACAAGACATTCATTCAGCATTATGCCCTTTTCCATAACACTGTCCACACACTAACCCTCATTGTAATTTGTTTTCCCATTATAGTATTAATTCAGTTACAATAAAGAATCATGGAACAGAATACATCAGTTTCCCAAATCATTTCACAGCATGGAGCAAATTTTAGAGAGATTGTCCCTGCGAGACTTACCTCTAATTCAGAAGTGTACAGACCATTTCCCTTTGTAATTGTGATCATATAATGTACTCGTGGCATATATCATTAGGGAAGTATTTAACGTGTCATTTTTAATGCTATTTTTAATGCAATTAAGCAGATGAAAATAAGGACCACAATTTGAGGCCCATTGGTTTAGTTAGCTCTATTACACAGTATATCATCTTACTTGTTACCAAAGCAGAATGGTAATATCCACAGGAGACCCAGGAAACAGGCTTTCCAACATCCACTTGCCAAGGTACACACACACTGGCTTCACCAGCCAGGCCAATCTGACCTTCAGAATTGTCACCCCACACGAAAAGCTGTCCATCCTCTAAAATAAAGTGGCAGAAAATCAGATTTAAAACCAAAGCTGGGCTAACAATATTTACATTTACTTGTGGCTTCCATCCAGAGGCAGTTCACACACTCTATATGACATTGCTAAAACATAGCCATTGCTGAAGGATGAGGACAGCTATCAACTGGCACTCCACACATAGCAAAGCATGGGGCCAGGGATACCAAGCCATCCCATCCCTCACAATCTTCTGAAATGTGCCATGGAATATTTAGTGACCAGGTAGTATAAGACCAGAGATGGCAACCTTTAACATTTATTTCCAGACATGTTTCTCCAGTAAGCAATACGACCGGAGGATGTCAGACTCCCAAGTTGCTGGTGGTCTGTGTACACACATTCTGGGGAATGTTATGGATGTTAGGCTTATTCCTATCCTATTAGTAACTTCAGGATGGCATGTCTCCACTTGCTTCCTCAACAGGATTCCCATTTCTCCTTCCTCCAAATTGATTCTCTATCCCAGCTTTTCCTCTCACCCCACTGATGCTCTTCTTTTCCCCCTGCTTTCTCCTATCCCTCTCCCACTCACCCCAACTTCATTCGGTCTCCCTCACGCTGACTAGAGTAGCTGTTCTCCTATTTGTCTCAGACACAGTCTCATCTGCACAGAGACCCATGTCAGCAACAAGGAGTGGCTGAGGCAAAGGAACGATACAATAATCTTCAGCCACCATCCAGCCTTCTCTGTACAGCAATTCCAAGTTGTGGGAAGCTAGCGCTGCATAAAACCTCTCTAGCTGAAGGGTGGGCAGTATTTGTAACTAAAACTACGCAGGGCTGCTTCGCAAATCCGAGGAGAGCCTTAGCCATTGGTAGAAAGGAAAATAGCCTAGCATACCTCTTACTGGCTGCTATAAGGTAGGATTTGTGAAAGAGGTATGAATGAGATTGCAAAGGGAGAAAAGGGGCCTAGCATCAGATAGCTGAAAGCAGGGCCGGCTCCAGCATTTCTGCCACCCCAAGCAAAAAAAAAAAAAAAGCCGCGATCGGCGGCGGCAGTTCAGTGGCAGGTCCTTCGCTCCTAGAGGGAGTGAGGGACCTGCTGCCCCCGAACTGCCGCAGGTGCCGCCCCTCTCCCTTGGCCGCCCCAAGCACCTGCTTATTAAGCTGGTGCCTGGAGCCGGCCCTGGCTGAAAGCCTTTCTACCACCACACAGACTTATCAAGTCTCCACTGCTAATTACTGCTTTTGAAAAGCGAATGATCATGGTGTAAGGCTTCCGTCAGGGTCAATGGGGCTGTCAAAGGATAAACTATGTTGTTAACATGTTTTTTACCTTTTCACGGTATAGGCATTTGTTATTAGCTGTTGCTCTCACCGGTTAGTGCTGCTGATGTGTAAGATCCAGCTGCCAGCTGTTTGATCTTGTACTGGTTGGTAAAAAAACTAATTAGATGAAACGTGCTTCTTTCCTCTGTGTCACCTAATCCCAACTGCCCTTCACTGTTACCTCCAGCAGCATATACATGTCCTCGTTCTGCACATAGAAAAGCACATGTAATATGTAGAGTAAGTGACAGCAAATCAGAAAGTTTGAGCTCCATTTCTTCCTACAGAAAAAGCATTGCAAAAAAAGCTGTGCTAAGCTGTCCTAAAATATTCTAACACTGATATTATGAGTTGCTGCTGTATGTCCCGAGGAAGCTTTCCTGGGCACTTTTGGACGGGGAAGTTCTAACCGTCTTCCTTTCCATTTTAGAATACATGTGCACCTAGAGAAGGCTGGGTTTTCCCTCAGCTTGGGGAGAGATGTCAAAAGTGAAGGAACTCTACATACTCTGTAGTTCTTTTAAAGCTCAAGAGACATGAAAGCACCTTAGAAGAGCCTTGACTTAAAAATGTCTGCAGACTGAGTAATTGCTGGAAAGTCCAGGTTACCAAAGGCAACTTATAGATGAATGGAAAACTAAAAAAAAAAGAGCCTTTTGGTAACTAGCTACAATTAGGGTGAAGTTTGTCACTTCTGATTGTTTTCTTCAATTCTGGTACATCAGATTTTGTTTCTCTATCATATATGTACATAAAAAGAGTTTTACATTTCCCAGTTGGACTGTTGCTTGTACATAAAGGTTAAAAAAAAGAGATTATTTATAATTTGGTTCTCCCTCAAGACGCACTACATTAAAAATGTAAAACACAGGAAGGATATCAGGAGAATCTAATCTGCTCTGAAAAAAACTGAAAAACTCAGACGTTACACAGGAATCCCAAGGAATATTCCAACTGAGTAATACAAGATACATTTTTTTACCCTAATTTTGCAGAGGGCAAGTTCCTCTGAAGACTATGAATCACTACAGGTAAAATTCAGCTTTATGCAGAGAGCTATTCAAGACCTTTGCCACCCTTAAGTTCCAGATAAACTCTATTTCAAGGGCTTAAGTGGTGCACAGACTTTATGTTGGACTCTACTTACAGCTGAACTTCACCTAAGCAATTTTTATTGGATTTTAAAATGTAATAAAATTATGTTTGTATATAGGAGCAGCATTACAAAGATGTTTAACATATCACTTGGTATACAGCCATGGACTACTGGTCAGTGCATTTACAAATAACTGGGAAAATATATGCTATCAAAATATATGCTATTTAGTTAATGAATTAAGTTGTATGACTGGTTTCTTATTAATTTGCGTTGTGATAACAACAAAACACTCCAGTCTTGGGGGCCCATTGTAGTAGGTGCTATGTGCACACATAGAAAGACACAGTCTTTGCCTCAATAGTTTACAAGCTATTTTAAGACAAAACATAATAAGCAAGTGTGACAAAACTGGAGGCAAATGGGGAGGCATGGCCAGGGTAACAATATTAAAATCACCTAATTAGTTATGTACATAGCTTGATGGTTTTGAACAGGGTGGATAAAAATAATATCTTAATTTAAAAATCTTTTTAGTTAAATCATTCTTAATTTTTTTTATACTGACCTCCTTCTAAAGTGCTTTGACATTTACTGATGAAAAGTGCTATAAGACCTAGGTACTATTATTTCAATCAGATTTTTATTTATTTGTTGCTAGCTCTATATTTTTTTCTCAATCTAGTTTTAAATTGGCAAAGCTGATGTTTTGTACTTGTTTCTTTAGCTTCCTAATTAAAATAATTTCAGATTTTATATTTCTTCTACTAAAGAGTTTAATATTTAAAATGCTCATCTGTGATGAAAGAGTTTAGCCCAGGGCCTCACTAACACTTTTAGTGGAAGAACACCACAGAATCGACAAGCAGATACCCCAGGCTATATTTCCAGACACCCTCTTCCAATATGTTGAACCTCCACAAGACAAGACAGCTGAAATGCTTTACCAGGCTGTACTCATCCATCGGGGTTTGCTGTTTGAAGTCAACATGACTTGAGCTCCTAAGGCACTTCGGTGCTTTAGAAATTCCCACACATGTGTGCCTACATGTAGGTTTAGGAACCTAGTATTAGGCTCCTACTTTTTAAGAATTTTGATCTCTGTGCACATAACAGTTCACAATAACACCGTTAATGTACTGAAAGACTAAATAACTTGTGCCAGGGTTAACAATGTACCAATTTTGTCTTGAAGTGACAAAGATTTTATGCCACTAAGACAAGTTATTAAAAATACAGTTTTAGCCCCTGATGTTGCAACGTTTATGCCTGTGCTTAACTTTAAATATATGAGTAGTCCAACTGAAGTCAGTGGGACCATTCATAAAGCAAAATAATATACCCACTTAAGGATTTGCAGGATCAAAGCCTTTTCAAATTTTGTCAGGATTTTTTGTGTGTGTGTATAGCAGTTTTGTAAAATTCAAATGAGAGCCCACTAGTAGTGGTATTTTGTTTAAAAAGCTTAATTTAGTTCATTATAAATGTTAATGTAAAGTTACAATAGCACAATTCTTCAAATTAGTTGTACAAATATTCAATCCAATTTATTAATTTTTTAAAAATAAGTGTTTTCTTTAATCGCTTTACCCTGGATCTAAATCATTTAAAAGTAATAGGTGATGGGGTTTGCGAGGCTTTTTCTTTTGTTATTATGAATTGTTATGCATTCAGAGACCAAAATTCTTAAAAATCTGGACCCTAATGTTAGGTTCCTAAATCCATATTTAGGTACGCATACGTGGGATTTTCAAAAGCACCCAAGTGTCTTAAGAACACAAGTCCCATTGATTTTGTTTCTGACTTAGCCAATCTGGCTGATTTCTGGTAAGCATCAGAGCAGAAGAGAATCTTGAAGGTGGATCTGAAAGAGGTGAGGGGTAACCTAGAGGTAAAAGGTTCCATCTCTCATTACACCACTGCCTTGGAAAAAATACTGTATACATATATTCTTGCTTTAATAATACTTAGCTCGTACACGGCACTTTTAATCAATTACTATAGTCATTGTAGCTACAGTATGTATCGTACTTCTAGTGTTGCGAATTTTCTCTATATTGTAAAATTTCAAAAAAAACAAAATCTCATGTACACTATTACTGTACATGTTCTAACACTTTATCAAATGATAATTGTAACAAAAAGGTTTTATATTACAGTTCTCATTTCTTTCAAATACATCTCAAAACAGTTATAGTATATAGGATCTGTCATACCAGTCTGAACCAATAGTCCATCTAGTTCAGTATCTTCCCACTGGACGTCAACAGCACCTTATACTTCAGAAGAAGGCAAAGAAGCTCCAGAAGAGGGAGGATGGTCTAGTGGTTAGGGCACTAGGCTAGGACTTGAGACATAGGTTCAATTCCCTGCTCTACCACAACTTCCTGTGACACCTTGGGCAAGTCACTTAGACTCTCAGTGTCTCAATTCCCCAGCTGTCAAACTGAGATAACAGCACTTCCCTATCTCACAGGGGTGTTGTGATGGATAAATACAGTAAAGTTTGTGAGGTACTCAGATACTATGGTGATGGGGCCATATAAGTACCCAAGATAGATAAATAGATGCTTCCAGGTGTACACCACCATAAAAAGGGTAGGGGAAAGAATTTCTTTCTTAACCCAGGGTTAATTAGCTTGTGCCTGAAGCATGAATTTTAATTACCCTTAATGTTATTTTAACGTGCATAACGACAAATGTTAATGGTGGTCATAAAAATTATCCACCCACAATACCTGTTTCAAGTTGTAAATCTGTACTTTGTTCAATTTGATATAGTCAATCCTTATTAAAGTGTTCTGTTATATTGTTAGAATAATTTACTATAGCCTGAGTTCACACATATATTAAAACCTTAGTAAATCAACCCCTCTCTTCATATCACTGTAGGCTCCAAAGATTGGTGCCATATAGAGGGTAGTTCCTTTCTACAAATTTTAAAAACATATCAATCCTTGCATATTATCTCTGTAAAATGAAAGTGCCAACTTCTAAAACTTAGCAAACTAATTTCTCAAACCCAACAGTGGGAGACAGAGCATATTGCCTTTTAGGAAGACTAGAAGAGGGTTCTAAAGGTTATGTGCTGTATATCCAGACCTTTTCTGAAGTTATACGAAAGTGTTACCCTCACATCAAAATCGGGCAGGAGGAAATTCTTCAAGCTGGCTATTGTTTGCAAATTTCTATATACAATTCCTTTATAAACACCATGGCATGGAAAAGCTATTTCAGGAATTCACAGCACAGAATGCATGACAAGTGGTTGAATTTTCACTGCCACGTTTTCCCCCTAGATGCTCATAGGGGGCTCCCATTATAGAATTAGAACTATGCATGAAACCAAGGGCAGAATTTTGCCTTAAATATTTCCCTAGTATGTAAATAATGTAGATTACATACCTGTGTAAACTAAAGTGTGGTTTCTCCCGCAAGCAGCAAGTTTAACTTTTTCTGGTTTTAAAGCTATGAATTAAAGTCAGAGAATGAGTTTACAAACAAGTTAATAGTTACATTTGTTAAACAACACTTTGCAATCGGCATATAGCCATCTGCTCTTTTCATATTTTTACCAGCAGCAGGTAAAGTTACAATACAAACTGAACACTCTAACCTAACATTTCTCTTTATTTCATAAGAATGCGTCAATCAAAATCACCCCTGGGTAAACAAAAATAGAAAGATTCCCCAAATGTTTGTAGCTGTCATTCATATTAGCTGCATGAGCGCTAATATACCACAGTCAACCAGATACCACATCTTACTATGGTAAGGTAACCCTCAGTAGACTGCAGTAAGTTGAACTGGCGATGATATGGGTGGCACTTGCTCCAATTTTCAGTACTTAAATGATGTTACTAACCCACTATTTTCCTTCTCCCGCCATTTTGAGTCCTTATAATCATCCAATTCTGTTGCTTCCTACTACCCTACTTTTTCGCCCCCCCATACTAATTCTCTATTGTTCTTCTCTCCCCCTGGCTGTCACGTTCTACATCACCCTCTCAACTGGTCACATTAATCAGTGTAATCACCAGCTGTTAGTAGCAAGCATACTGTGGGCTATGCCCAGAATAAGCAGTGTGGCTTCAGGTAGCAACCTCCCTCTACACCAACCACCATCCGCGTGCGCCCGCGCACACCCGCATTCCTCCTCTATCCCTCCCTAGTGCTTTTGAAGTGAAAAACTGGACCCTGTGTGGGGGAAGGGGCTTGTCATGGGGAAGTGTTTTGGTAGAAAAGAGGAAAGAAAAAGGGGCATCCACTCTCCTTTAGTAACTCCTCCCCATTTCAGAAATAGAAAAAATATTTATACCTGTGTGACCTCTCACCTTCTTTCTACTTCCCAATTTCTGTCCCTACAATCTATTTACCACTTACCCTACTATCCTTCTTACTGTTTCTCTCTACCACGTCCACACACCCACTAGCAATACACCCATACTCATTCACAAACTGATTTGATTTCCACCAGCCCTCAATGTTGCCAACCTAGGGCATCTCCCTCCTTTTTCAGACCCTTCTCAAGCTCCCCACAAACCAACCTCCACCAGTTCCAAAACATCCCCATCCTGCCAGACTGACAGCCCTTCCACTTTCTACCCAGTCACTCCACAACTCAGACTTACCCCCTCAACTCGGAACCCTCTCCCACCAGCCACCCAGGCTTAGAACTCTCCCACACAAACACAAATCCTCCCTGCTCTGAACCCTTTTCCATCCTGCCCAACACCCACCAACACCATACAGTAGAACCTCAGAGTTACAAACACCAGAGTTACAAACTGACCAGTCAACCACACAACCTCATTTTGAACTGGGAGTACACAAAAAAGTTCCTAACTGTCAGGGTAGTTAAACACTGGAATAAATTGCCTAGGGAGGTTGTGGAATCTCCATCTCTGGAGATATTTAAGAGTAGGTTAGATAAATGTCTATCAGGGATGGTCTAGACAGTATTTGGTCCTGCCATGCGGGCAGGGGACTGGACTCGATGACCTCTCGAGGTCCCTTCCAGTCCTAGAATCTATGAATCAGGCAGCAGCAGAGACCAAAAAAAATGCAAATACAGTACAGTACTGTGTTCAACGTAAACTACTAATAAAAAAAGGAAAGCAGCATTTTTCATCTGCCTAGTAAAGTTTCAAAGCTGTATTATGTCAATGTTCAGTTGTAAAATTTTGAAAGAACAATCATAATGTTTTGTTCAGAATTATGAACATTTCAGAGTTACAAACAACCTCCATTCCCGAGGTGCTCGTAACTCTGAGGTTCTACTGTACTCAGAAATCGCCATGCTTTTCCGAGCCTTTTTACTTGCTTCAGCACCTGGAAAAAAATTGAAGTACTGTGGGATCACAGAGCATATGCAGAGAACCCTACATTCTGCCTCTTTTAGGTATGGCGATTATCTGAATTAGCTCTTGAGAAGCCTGCATTCTCCCCATATGTACCTCCTCCCTCTTCTGTGTGCCATCTATAGCCTGTAAGGCCAGGAGTATCCCCATGGCAACCAGGCGTATGGCACCTCACAGTATATCAGCCCTGCTACACAGTGCCTGTAACATAGCTAAAACAACGAGGAGTCCTTGTGGCACCTTAGAGACTAACACATTTATTTGAGCATAAGCTTTTGTGGGCTAGAACCCACTTCATCAGATGCACGATGCATAACATAGCTGGCAGTTTTGGCATTACTGATAGAGTTTACCCTCACTGCCCCGCAACGATCATCTGCTCCTGGGCAAGCCCAAGAAGGGATTGCAACAGCAACATGCTACTACTGCTGCCTGGCCCCAAGCAGGACTTGAGCAGGGAATTGCTGCCATCCCATTCCACAGCCAACTATCACCAGCTTGGAGTCACCATCTGTCCTTTCCACAGTTGGCCACTACCAAGGAGAGTGAAAAAGCTGTTCTGTCCAGCCCTACTCCCAGCCCTCCCCCCTTCCTGAAAGGAGGAGCTCTGTTCTGGGATCTCCTCACTCTCTCCATTGCCTGCCATAGTCTGAGAGCAGAAGCAAAGGGAGAGCTCCCACTCTATCGTAGCCGAGGCAAGAATCAACCCTGTATCCTCACATGGCTGTTGACCGAGGAGGTGAAGATCCCAGTGATCCTGCTCTCCCCTGTCATCAGCCCAAAACAGGTAGAAGGAGAGGACAGAAGCAACGAAGGGCTCTGGAAAGATGTTTGGGGCAGAATTAATTGATTCCTTGATGAAAAGGGTTTGAACAGGCTGAATAATTTGTATTTGATGATGGGCAACTGAACAAATCTGACGACAGAGAGGAAGGGAGTTAATTCATTTGATGGTTGAGAATGATGTACTGATAATAATGGGGTGAACTGAGAGAATAAATTTTTTGATGGGGAAAGAATTATTGATTTGTTAGAGAAGGTAGAGCTGGCTGGGAGAAACTGTAAGAGTTTGTAATGGAATGACAAATTCCATAATCTGTAAAAGTGCATGGGTACTATTTCATTCCTTCTTTATTTAATGATGTGTGTAGTGGATGTGGGTGAATCCATTAATGGCTCTGCTTTTTTGGGACACCTTCAGGTATTTCTAATATTTGCTCAAAAAGTAGTAGGACGGATAGTGAGACGGTCTCTCTGCCAGGGGTTGCATTGGCAGAAGGTTACACATAATGATATTAGAGATACAAGGTGGGTGAGGTAATATATTTTATTGGACCAACTTCAGATCTGACGAAGAGCTCTGTGTAAGGTCAAAAGCTTGCCTCTCTCACCAACAGAAGTTGGTCCCATGAAAAATATTACCTCACTCGCCTTGTCCCTCTAATATCTTGGGACCAACACGGCTACGAAAACAATGCATACATATAATGATACTTTCTCTTGGTGTCTAAGCACCAAACAGCACTTCAGAGATCAACAGTCCAATAACTTCCCTGCATATGGAATGAAGTTGGACAGAAACAGAGATGACACTGAATGGGAATTCTTAATGGGTATCCAAAAAGATCGGATTCTGTGCGTCTTGAGTAGTCCTCAAACTCCACAAGACCTAGAATCGTGAGGTGACAGAAGATCAAATAGGGACCTTGTATTTAATTTGGAAATTGATACTATAAATCACTTTTTCATTCAAGCCATCTATCAAAAAGCCAAAGAAGAAAATAAGACAAACCTTTTACACAAGTTGGCTTGTTGATAGTATTCTTTGTTCCTAGTCCTAACTGGCCCCAGTTATTGCTGCCAAACATGTAAAGTTTACCATTTCCTGCAAAATAAAGACATCAGTGGGAACGCATAAAAGTGTTTGAATATACAGCAACTTTAGAGCAAACCATAATTAAGCATAGCCATCAACTCATGGCATACAATACATTAATTATTAAAGCTTTTTATAAGGAAAATTATGAGAGAAGTTAAATATTCTTTATTTTACAATGAAATTGTTTAACACTATTTAATATTTAACTAACAGACTATTTTCAAAAATATAGTCAATTACAATACACATGGATGGAATTGAATTTTTTCTACAAATTAACATCGCAGGCTTGCTCTGTAGTTGGTCAGCCACAGTTAGTAGTGAGAATGGCTTAAAAAAAAAAAACCCCAAAAACAGCCTTCTCCATAACAAAACAGTTTACTTTGTCATCCATAACAAAACAGTCTCAGACACTTTTTAGGATGTGGACAATTGAGACAAATTGGCAGTTGTGAATACATTCTTGAGGCCATATTCTACACTTTTGATGATATTTTTTTTTTTGGCAGATCTCTTCAGTAATATCAGTCAAATTTTAACAGGGCACTGTACACAGAGATCTGCCAGAAAACTTGCACTCAGAAGACGGCACATAAGGCAGAAGTTGTTTATTCCAGTTATGGCTTCCCCTACATACACTATTGATAGGCTGTTCCACAGAACCTCCATGACACAAAATGGAGAAGTATTCCTGGACAGGACCTATGGATCAGGAAACATGGTCTCTCTGCATCTATTTACACAACAACAGTATGGACACATGAACAACCAGATTACTCATTTTCCTATCTAGAATTATCTGTGCAAGTGACTGATGAAAGTCAGAATAGGGTGCATATACTTCTTCCATATTTACATGCCTGCATTTTGTATATTTTATACAATGTCCAGATTTTGGCCCTATTAAAGCACTGGAAGAGGTTGTTTGGGGATGGAGGGTTGTTTGTTTTGTTTGGGTTTGGTTTTTTGTGTGTGTCAAAATTTTCCCTGTGATTTCTACAGATGTATGTGCACAATTAGGCCTGTGGGACGGATTTTCCAAATTTGAACTTCTTCAGAACACTGTCTGTATTTAACTTATATAAATATGGCCACATATTGTGTGGGTTTCTCCTTGAACATGTGTCTGCCGTATGCCTTGTTCCCAGAAGAATGTGTTTTCCTGTGAATTAGATTTAGCATCTGGATGTAAATATTTACCAAAAGGACACATTAAAAACCTCATACATTCAGACAGTTCTGTAAGCCTACAATGTAAAAGCTATACTACAAAACTTAGCTAAGAAGGAATGCCAGAATCACATTTTTCAAGAAATTAGTAGATACTGAGTTTCTGATGAACTCTATGGGCTCAGTCATTACGCATACACAAGTGATTTCACACAGGAGATCCAGAGATTGAGGGTAGAAGAGTAGCAGATCAACAATTTGAAAAACCTAACATCATCCTTTTCAGACACATATGAAGATCAAACAGCTGCATTTGACTGTTTGCTCAGCGCTTATAACATGTATTTTTTTTAATGGTGATCTTGTGTAATACCATGGACCAAATTTAGCTAAGTTGGCATAGCAAGGTGTAAATTACAATACCTGCTCTAGCAAAGTTCCTTGTATACGAGAGTATGTCTACACAGCAGCTGGGAGGGTATGTTTACACAGCATGTATGTCCTCTCAAGAGGACATACATGTACAAGCTCTGCTGGAGCTAGGATGCTTAGAATAGCAGCGTGGCTCTGATGGCACCGACAGTGGTTCTTGCTAGCTGCATGAGTACATATCCAGGGGTCAGGGAGGACTAATCAGGTGGCTAGACCAAGCGGTTACCCTTGCCACCGCAGCCACAGTGCTATTTTTAGCATGCTGGCTCAAGCAGAGCTAGTGAATGTCTATCCGAGCTGCAAATCACACCTTCTAGCTGCTATGTAGACTTACCCTCCAGAAGACATTCACTCTGATGAGGAAAAGGCAGCGCTTCCACAACTCATTCACAGTGCTTCCCAATAGGAGGCGCAGAGTGCACTCCTGCTCAAGCTCCATAAAGCTCTGACAGCTGGAAGTTCATCAGGGAATGGCCATGTCAACTGACTTTTCAGCTGCCTGATCCCGCATGTTCACCCATCTAACTTGTAGCTGTTTTGTGCTTCAACAATCTGGTTTCCCAGTGAAAGCTTTGAGTTTGGGTTTACAGAAACTGTGACTCTATTTCAAAGTGCATAAGTCGGTCAGTTTTCATTTTTGAAATACCATAGCAAAAGCACTTATTCTATAATACAAACATTTAGTTTTTAAAAGATTTTTAACATCATTGTACAGTTTTAAAACCTACATAATTCTTAACACACAAACCCCAAAAACAACTGTTGGGAAGGGTTGTTTTTTTGGTAATAGCCACCCTTTCCTAATGTGTCTTGCCAATAAAGTTAGAGAAGAATAACAATAAAAGTTTAGTTTATCAGAAATGTTAAGTGGTAAATAGAAACTATTTAATAAAACTTCCACAACCTGAAAAAATACTTTGAAGTTTTGGTCAAGTATAATTAAATCGCAGTACCACTTTCTCTGAAGTTAGACTGGAAAAACCCTGCTGTGCAGTAAACACTTTGGTTTTTCACAACACATTTTGCAGTCTGTTATAAAGGCATAAAAGCATTTTCATTGTTAAAACACTAGTTTTTCACAAATCCCAATTTCCCCACATGCAAACTATAAGCAGCCTAGCATGGGGACAGACCGGATACCCTCAAACACCTATATAACAAGCAAACATTTAAGCAACACAGAAGTAACAAGGGGGAAACACCTATTTCAAATGTCTTAGGGTGGCAGATGGGGAGAATTCTACCTCAGAATAAAAATCCACTCTGAAAATACATCATGAACTTTCTGTATCAAAATTCCATTTCCTATTTTTTTAATGCTGGCATTTATATGAGATGAACTGCCAATACATTTAATGACATGATCACCAACTAAACTAGTCTCTTTTGCATTAGTTCAAACAGGACTCTAATTCTTTGTTGGTTACTGCTACTAGCATTTCAAAGAAACAAAAATGAGATTTTTATTAAAAGTGTGTTTACTATGCTCCATCAAAACTTTTTCTGTGTGGTTGTTGTAATTTACTGTACAGTAGTAGCATTTATTAAAATGTTTTGAGATTGATTTTTAGGGCTATTTTCCATTCACACATAATTTATAACTCCAAAAAGTTTTAATTTTAGACATATACCATCTTGAATATTAAATTTCAGACAAGGATTCTTATTGACCTTTGCTAGTTGCAGGGCCGGCTCCAGGCACCAGCTTAGCAAGCAGGTGCTTGGGGCGGCCACTCCGGAGGGGGGGTGGCACGTCCAGCTATTCGGCGGAGGGTCCCTCACTCCTGCTCAGAGCGAAGGACCTCCTGCCGAAGTGCTGCAGATCGCGACTTTGGGGGGGGGGGGCTGCTTGGGGCGGCAAAAACCTTGGACCCGGCCCTGGTTAGTTGCATTCAGCATTGCTTCTCAAATAAATAAGAACCCTCCAGGTTCATTTTCAGTTCAAGTCCTGATTATTTCCACTATATAAACTTTCTCTATTTAAGAATAGTTATTAGATACTGTCTGTCTCAGTGTTCTTTTTCAAGTTGATCAAATTCATTTTGATAGCTGCGGGGAAGGTCCTCTCATTGATCAGTAACTGGTTAAAAGTCAGGAAACAAAGGGTCGGAATAAATGGTATGTTTTCATGGTGGAGAGAGGTAAACAGCTGGTCCCCCAAGGATACATACTGGGACCTGTGCTGTTCAACATATTCATAATTGATCTGGAAAAAGGGGTAAACAGTGAGATGGCAAAGTTTGCAGATGATACAAAATTACTCAAGATAGTTAAGTCCAACATTGACTAAAGAGTTACAAAGAGATCTTATTAAACTGGTGACTGGGAAACAAAATGGCAGATGAAATTCAATGTTGATAAATGCAAAATAGTGCACATTGGAAAACATAACCCCAGCTATACATACAAAATAAGGGGGTAAAAATCAGTTGTTACCACTCATGAAAGAGATCTTGGGGCCATTGTGGATAGTTATCCTGAGCAGAAGTTTTCAGAGACCAGGCTAGATGGACCATTGGACTGACCCAGTATGGCCATTCTTATGTTCTTATTTTGATCCAATGCTGTCATTTTGCACTAAAGACTCACTCACGTGGGGCACCAGGCATCTCCTGTTTAGAGTGCTCAGAATTTAATTCCCAGTGATTTCAATGGGAATGAAGGCACCCATTCAAAGAACGGGGGGACGGGATTGTTTCTTTATAATACTACCACAGATGTGAAACTAAACCATACATTTACAAGCCGTGTATTACAAAACATGTTCCTTAAACTGTGTTGATACTAACCTGTAACAATAGCAGTATGTTCATCTCCACATGACATATACAAAGGCTTGTCATTTTTAAACCAGAACTTGCTAGGAATATTTTCTGCAAATTTGCTTTTTCCAAATGTGAAAACGGCACCTGATTCTAAAACATAAATAAGACAGTTTCAGTATTAGTGCAAATTAGTTATACCTCATTTATCCAAAATAGTCACTTCCTATTAATCCAAGCATCCTTTTTATTTTCCACTGTCTTTTTATATTTCTTTAATTCTCTTAAAGCTCTGGTGGTTTCTCTCAGTCAGCTTCCTCAAGGCTACCATTTTTAGGATCACATTTTCTTCCCTCCATTCCTTCCTAGTCTCATGGGCTTTGCTAATAGATTAGATACAGATGTAGATATATTTTGCATTAAGAATATAACCAAGTTCTTTTGTCCTTTACCACTATCCTCTAAGAAATACAGCAATATTGCCACATGTAAGAGGACTTCAAAAAAATGAAAAATTTGACCCAAAAAAGTAAAACACAAAAAGCTCATCCTGAAAGCAGGTTGAGACCAAAAAAAAAAAAAAAAAAAAAAAAAACTCACTTACGTTTACACTTGAATTCAAACAGGTTTTCCAAATTGGATTAGACAGAGACACTGAAAAGGTTGACAGGCTCCAAATCTGACCACTCTTCCTCACTCATCTGAAAAGATACATTTGCTCTAAAAATTGCCCCCTACAAGCAAGACTCTCAGCCCTTGAAAAACAAGAGCTGCCAAAACCAACTTCCATTTTAAAATTATGATCTTTAAAAAAAAAAAAAAAACCAACCGTGGAGAGCTTTATTTCTAACACTCAATTCTTCCCACTTCGAAGAGCAAAAAGAGTCTCAAGTTTATTGTGTGCTTTTTTAAACCTTTTAAATAAACAGAAGGCACTCTCAAAGTGCAATATATTAGAGTATCTCAAAATGCATTACAAACATTTATGAATTAAGCTCTTACCATAACCTCTGAATTTGAAATAAATACGTTATCCTCATAGCACAGGTTGGGAAATGGACATTTAAATTGAAGGATTTGCCCAACATCAAGCAGGAAGACTGTGGCAAAGCCAGAACCAGGACCAGAACTCAGATCTCCTAACTGCGAGTCCTGTGCTTTAACCATTACACCATTCTTCCGCAAAAAGAATTTTCATTGTTTTGAAAGGTGAAAGCCCTGTACATACAAAACCACACAGCCCCTCGTGCCTATACACACATATACATACAGTAATGGATGAAGTAATGTTCATGACTATTCCTGTAAAATACAGTCATATAGTTCTAGAGATATTGGTTACATTGAAAATTAATAAATAATTGTAATGCTGCATTTCTTTCTATTGTGCTATTTCCCCCCAAAATTCCCAACTTTGTTTCTCAGCTTCAGTTTCTAATGCTCAACAATTAAAGTCTTCTTAAAGAAGTTTTCCCTGCACTTAGGAAGAATATGCTTATTTTACACATCATTTTGTTCAGGAGACATTCCAGAACTGCATCTGCTGCCCACAGAGCTTTGAGATTTTCATAGCTTTCTCTACTGAAAACTAGCATTAGTGCAGGAGAATGAAAAAATGGGGAAGGGGGTTCAGTACCCACCGCCGCTGTCAGCTCAAAGCTCCAGGGGCCCCATTACCTGCAGCAGATTGGAGCTCTGAGTCCCGTCCACCCGGCGGCTGGGATCTGCAGGGGCCCCCCACCACCCATAGCGGCTCAGAGCTCCAGGGCCCCCGCCAGCTGACATCTTCAGCCCCAACTGCCCCGGGGCAGAAGCAGAAAATGTCACAGAATACGTGACTTCTGTGACATAATCTTAGCCTTAATTATAGATGACAATTTCCTAATTCAAAAACTGTTGCACCCGACATGGGGGAATTCTTTATTAGACTTTGTCTAAATAGAATAAAGAGGAATTGATCACAGAACTAAAAATTAATGGTAGCTTAGATACAAGTGATCATGACTTGATCACAATTATAATGTTCCAACAGAATAAAGTCCAGACCAGTAATATATATACTTGGTGCTTTAATAGGGCCAGTTTCACAAAGTTGAAAACGATTATGAGCCAAATCAATTGGGAGGACAAATTTAATCAAAAAAATGTGAATGATAATTGAGAATCATTTAAGAACACTTTAAGAGAGGCCCAAAAAAGCCACCAATTGAGGAAGAAGGCCATACTGATTTAAAAAATGACCAGGTTTAGACAGGAAGTGAAGACAGCTATAAAAAAAATTTTAAAGTATAAAACAAATGGAAGAACTGGGAAGCTGATGGTAATAAATATAAATCAGAAGTTAGGAACTGCATAAAACTGATAAGGGAAGCAAAGGTACACAAGGAGAAATCTATGGCCTGCAGAGTTAAGGCTAATAAGGAGGAGTTTTTTAAAATATATTAGGAACAAAAAGAATTCTGACAATGGTATTGGTCCACTACAAGATGGAAACAGTAGAATTATCAATAATGCAAAAAAGGCAGAAGTGTTCAATAAATATTTCTGTTCTGTATTTGAGGAAAAAATAGATGATATAGTTTCATCGTATCATCATAACACTCTTCCCATTCCACTAGTATCTCTGGAGGAAGTTAGACAGAACCTACTAAAGTCAGACATTTTCAAAACAGCAGGTCTAGATAACTTGCATCCAAGAGTTGGCTGAGGAGCTCGCTGAGCAGTTAATGTTGATTTTTAATACATCTTGGAGCTCTGGGGAAGTTCCAGAAGACTGGAAGAAAGCTAATATGTCAGTTTTTCAAAACATAAACGGGATTACCTGAGTAATTATAGGCCTGTCAACATGACATCAATCCCAGGCATGATAGTGAAATGGCTGATACAGGTCTCTAATAAAGAAATAAGGAGGGTAACATACTTAATGCAAATCAATATGGGTTTATGGAAAATAGATCCTGTCAGACTAATTTGAGATTTTCTTTACGAGATTACAAATTTGGTTGATAAAAATAGTTTTGGTGTAACAGACAGATTTCTGTAAGGTGTTTGACTTGGTACCACACGAAATTTTGATTAAAAAAATAGAATGATATAAAATTAACAAGACACATTAAATGGATTAAAAATGGCTAACTACTAGGTCTCAAAATGTGATTGTAAACGGGGAATCATCATAGAGTGGGTGTGTTTCTAGTGGGGTCCCGCAGGGATCGGTTCTTGGCCTTGTGCTATTTAACATTTATATCAATGACCTGGAAGAAACCATAAAATCATCACTGGTAAGTATACAGATGACACAAAAATTGGGTGGTAAAAAATGAAGAGGACAGGTCACTGATTCTGAGCAATCTGGAGCGCTTGGTCAACTGGGGGCAAGCAAACAATATGCATTTTAATACAACTAATGTATATACCCAGGAACAAAGAATGTAGGCTAGAGGTACAGAATCGGGGGCTCTATCCTGGGAAGCAATGACTCTGAAAAAGATGTGGGGGTTCTGGTGGACAACCAGCAGAATGTGAGCTCTCAGGGTGGTGATGTGTCCAAAACGGCTAATGCAATTTTGGAATGCATAAATAAGGGAATTTTGAGTAGGAACAGAGAGGTTATTTTACCTCTATATTTGGCACTGGTTTGACTGGTGCTGGAATACTGTGTCCATTTCTGGTGCCCACAATTCAAGAAGGATGTTGATGAACTGGAGAGGGTTTTGAGAAGAACCACAAGAATGATTAAAGGATTAGAAATCATGCCTTATAGTGATAGACTCAAAGAGCTCACTCTGTTTAACTTAACAAAGAAAAGGCTAAGGGTGATTTGATTACAGTCGATAAGTATCTACCTGGAGAATAAACATTTTATAATGGGCTCTTCAATCTAGCAGAGAAAGGGATTAACATGATTAATGGTTGGAAGTTGAAGTTAGACAAATTCAGACTGGAATAAATTTAACAGTGAGAGTAATTAACCATTGAAACAATTCACCAGGGGTCCTGGTGGACTCTCCATCACTTGCCATTTTTAAATCAAGATGGAATGTTTTTCTAAAAGATATGCTCTAGGAACATATCTGTGTGTGTGTTATACAAGTCAGACGAGATGATCACAATGGTCCCTTTGGCCTTGGAATCTATTAAAAGTATTTTTTTTTTTACTATATCCACAATGCTACTCTTGAACTAATAAATGTTAACCAAAAGTGTGGTCTTAATTTTTGCCTTTGTCCCCCTACAGAGAGGTGTCCATTTTCCATGTCATTTGGATATGCTTAGAGCAGGGATGGCCAACCGAGCCTGAGAAGGAGCCAGAATTTACCAATGTACATTGCCAAAGAGCCACAGTAATACATCAGCAGCCCCACATCAGCTCCCTGCCCTCCTGCTCCCAGCGCCTCCCACCCACCAGCAGCCCCGCCAATTAGCGCTTCCCCCTCCCTCCCGGCACCTTCCGATCAGCCGTTTCGTGGTGTGCAGGAGGCTCTGGGGGAAGAGAGAGGGAGGAGCGAGGGCATGGCAGGCTCAGGAGAGGGGATGGGAAGGGGTGGAGTGGGGGCAGGGCCTGTGGCAGAACCAGGGTTAAGCAGTGAGCACCCCCCGGCACATTGGAAAGTTGGCGCCTGTAGCTCCAGCCCCAGAGTCGGTGCCTATACAAGGAGCCACATATTAACTTCTGAAGAGCCACATGTGGCTTAGAAGCCACAGGTTGGCCACCCCTGGCTTAGAGTGATTCCCTTGACATTAATACCAGGGTAGAGGTGTTTGCCAAGCTGAATAGTAGCATATTTTGTTCTGTTAAGAGCCCTATGGCTGAAAAGAGAGAGAGAGAGAGAGAGAAAGAGTAAAAGGGTTTTTTTTCCCGGCATTTTGGGGGAACGGGAGGTGCCAGTAAGTGAAAAATGTCGGTTAACTAAGAGGGAGGGAGTTTAGGTGCAGCGGGCGTGCGGGGCGCAGGCTCTGGGAGGGAGTTTGGGTGCAGAAGGGGGCTCGGGGCAGCGAGTTGGGATGCGGGAGAGGGTGCAGGGTGCCAGATCCAGGGGGGCACTCATCTCAGGCGGCTCCCTGCAAGTGGTGACCTGTCCCGGCTGCTCCTAGAAGGAGGCACGGCAGACGGCTCCACACGCTATCTCTGCCCGCACGCGCCACCCCCGCAGCTCCCACTGGCCGTGGTTCCCAGTCAATGGGAGCTGCGGAGCTAGCACTCGGGGCGTGGGCAGTGCGCAGAGCCACCTGCCATGCCTCTGCCTAGGAGCAGCCAGGACAGGTCGCCACTTGCAGGGAGCACCTGAGGTGAGCGCTCCCCAGATCTGGCATCCCGCACCCTCTCCATGCCCCAACCTGCTGCCCTGAGCCCCCTCCCACACCCAAACTCCCTCCCAGAGCCCGCATTCCACACCTACACCCCAACCACCCCCTACCGGCCCCAAACCAACTGGACTATAACCTGGAATTTCAATGAAGATCAGAAATGTCGGTTTATAGAGCTTTCTGGTTGGTGATATGTCAGATAAAACAGCTTTTACTGTATTCTCAATTCAATACACACAAAAAAGGCAGAGGTAGTCACAATTTGCACTGCATCAGGTAATCACATCATAAAACACACATACTTTGAAAACTTATTCGATGCTAAAGTTAGCAATTTAGTAAATATCTTTATAATATTTCCCAGGATAACAATACAGCTTGTAATACTAAAACAGGGTTCAAAAAATAACTAGATGAGTTCATGGAGAATAAGTCCATCAATGGCTGTTAGGCAGCATGGGCAGGAATGCAAAACCATGCTCTGACGTGTGCCTAGCCTCTGTTTGCCAGAAGCTGGGAATGGGCAACCGGGGATGCATCAATTGATGATTACCTGTTCTGTTCATTCCCTCTGTGGCACCTGGCATTGTCCACTGTCAGAAGACAGAATACTGGGCTAGATGGACCATTGGTCTGACACAGTATGGCCATTCTTATGTTCTTAATACATAGTAAGAATACTCAGATATTTTAGGTCCAATTGACATTATTATAAAATGTCATAGACTAAGCCATATTCTTTACCAGCTGGAAATTGCCAGGATAAGATGTTTTATTAGTTTCCGGGGACAATATTTTATTTGCCTAAATTATTATTTTCTTTTCTAAACACACATTGTACATGACAGCAGTTGCTCTGCAACAGACACTTTATTTTATTTGCCTGAAAAAAAAACCCATAGAATAAACAGCTTTATATGGAATTACATAAGGAACACCATACTGGGAGGGCCCAATGGTCCACCTGGGCTGATACCTTTCTTCAATAGAGGTGAGTGTGATGCATCTCAGAAAAAAGCATTAGAAGACTAAATCCATATAATTGTGTGCTACTATGATACGGGGGACACTTGCATGTAACCTCAGCCAGCAGTTATCTTATGATCTGTAGCATGAAAACCGATAAACCTAGCACTAGTTAGGATGCAAATGAACTATCTATAATAGGAGCTGCAATTCTTACTAGCTCTCAAGAGGACCTGTATGGCCCAAATTGCAAAAGGTAAAAACCAAACATTCAGCAATGATGTATCACTAACTTCTAACAACAGCCGGCAGGTTGGCCAAAGAAATGTACCAACGTTCTATCCCCGAACGCCCCGGGGCGGGAGAACAGCGGGGCCCGAGCCGGGCTCTCCCCGGCGCACCCGCCGCAGCCCCCGGGGGGGCCGGTCATTGTTGGACCCGCTCCGCAGCCCCGCGCAGCCCGTGCACGGGAGTCAGGATCCTTCCGCTGAAACACTCAGAAACCGCAGCCCCGGGGAAGCCGAGGGGGGGGGGGGGGGGGGGGGCGCGGGGGGGCGGCCCCCCGGGGGGGGGGGGGGGCAGCTCGCCCCTGCCCCGCCAGGGGGACACCCCCAGCCCGCGGCGCCCCGCCGACCCCCACCCCCAGGGACCCGGGAGACTCACCGGGCACCGGCTCCTCCACCTCCCCCATGGCGGCTCCGGCACTGGGGGGGGGGCATCCCGGAAGTAAACAAACCTCCTGCCACTAGCAACGGGAGGCGGGGCCCGGCCATGGGGAGCCGCGCGCGCCCCCTGCCGGCCGGCGCTGGGCTCGGGGCGGGGGCTGTACCAGCCCCACCAGCAACCACGGGGCGGCTCCCGGACCTCCCGGGTTTTTCCAATAAGGCCCGGCCCGGCCCCTGGCTCGGGGGATGCGGGCGGGGCTGGTTGGTTGATTGGCTGCCGGGTTTTCTGCCCTGCTGGGCTCTAAGGCGAGGTCTTGGCTGCCCCGTGAACCCCGGCTCCCAGCCACGTACCTGCCCAAACCTGGCTCCTGTTTGCACACAGCAGCCCCCGGCCCTGAGCTGTGGTGGTGCAGCCCTGGCTGGCGCAGTCACCCCGCAGGGGAGTTAGGAGCCAGGCTCCACTTTAACTGGGACTGCGGCCTGCCCTTGTGCTGTATGCATGCAGGGGGATAACGCCAGGGCTGATCCTTCTTCACTGCCTCCCCCCGCCAGACAAGCTCTCAGGCTGTCAACTGGGAAAGAATCCCACATAGAACATCTCTGTACACAGAGCCCTGGCGCATGGCCCCAGCCACACCGCTGGGGCAGTGCAGAAACAGGGATGGCACAGACACAGTAACACATATATACATTGCCATGGACACTCACACGGGCTACGCTAAACCAGGTGATCAGACCCAGGTACCAATCACCCATATTAACTGTGCAGAGAACACAAACCCTGAGGGTTTTGTCTACACAGCAAAGAAAAACCCGCAGCTGGCCCATGCTGAGTCAGCCAACTTGGGCTAACAGGGTTTGGGCTGTTTCATTGCTGTATAGCTTTCCAGGCTGGGTCCTGAGCTCTGGGACCCTCCCACCAGTCCAGAAGTCTACACGGCAATGAAACAGCCCCACAGCCTGAGCCCAAGTCGTGGCAGCTATGGGTTTTTCTTTGCTGTGTAGACAAATCCTAAGAGATTATCTCCCACTGATGGGATGCACTCCTTGGTTTTATCCTTCCCATATGGCTTTTTTCACACATCTAGTCAGATTGGTATAAAAAAGGTGGTGGTATTCTCCCACGCACCCACCATTTGTGGCACCAAACTAAGGCATAGTAGATTCATAATATGATCCTCCCTCTCCTTTCGTATATGCTTGGACAGCAGTGGAAGAGTTGAGCATGTGGACATTTACATCTTCAAGCTTGGGCATCTGAGTTGACAACTCATTTAGTAGATTACAGCTCTCATAGCTAGTGTTTCAGTATCTCTGGAGCTGTAGGCTGATTTCACTGCATCATTTCTCTGCAACCATATGGGCTAATGACATTTTCTAGCTTTCATTTTATAAAAAACAGTAAGTAAGAGGTTACCTCAAAAAAAGGAAAAATGCAGTTGCCAACCTTGCATGGCTTGGCCCAATTCAAGGCCTGGTACTGGAGAAACAGAGTTTGAAGACAGGAGGGCTGAGTGAAAATAGCCAACGGTTTTCACAATCTTTCAAAAAAGTACTTGTAAAATTTATGGGTTGCATGTCATAAGTTCCTTTTTGAAAGACATTTGCAATATAGCCATTTTGGCACATGCACAATTGCCCACTTTTGTCCAATCATTTGATCTTCTTTGTAAGGAAATTTCAGCATTTGAAATTTCACAAATGTGAAGGTTTTGCTCAAACACAAGGACAGGTTTTGGTCACATTTATGGAATGCTTCTCTCCCCCTGACATTTCACAAATGTTTCAGATTTCCATAGGTTTGGGATTCACAATAAGTATTTTTCACAGTCATAGGTCCAATCCTGCAAACACATGCTTAACTTCTTTACGCATATGAGTAATCCCTCTGAATTCAATCGAGTGCTCATGTGCATATAAGTTATTGCTGGGTCAATGGCTTAATTTGGAATCATTGGGCCTGATTCTCCACAGCTTTGCAGCCTGGGCAGTTATTTCATCCTTATGCAAAGTGAGCACAAAGCACTACCAAATCATAATAAATTGCTAGTCCAATCACTAATACTAACCAAACATGTTTTCAGGTTGTAGTAGCTAGATGCATCTGAGGCTATATCTACACTGCACTTTTGTCGGTAAAACTTTTGTCGGTGAAGGGTGTGAAAAAACACACTCCTGACTGACAAAAGTTTTACCGACAAAAACGCCGGTGTGGACAGCGTTATGTCATCGGGAGACGCTCTCCTGCCAACAAAGCTACTATCCCTCATTGGGGACGGTTTTATTTAGAGCTCTCCTGTGCTGCTGTCAGGTGCACAGTGAAGACGTAACCTTAGTTTTGCCCATTGGTTCTGAGTTCATATTTTATAAAAGGTGTTTCCAACCTAGCCAGATTGCTCATTTGAAGCTTTATTTTCCTGTTATTCTCAAATATTAAGCTTGTACATTAAGTGAGAAAGATTTACTTTTCCAACGGTTAAGATGTCAATTTTCAATCTCAGCAACACTAAAAATTGAGTGAAAACAAGCTGGAAAGGTACTTTAGAGACTACTTGTAACAGAATAGGTTATGATAGTTTTTTTCCATACTTACATTTTTAACAAATACTCTCTCCCACTTTTGATTTTAGTTAAATAGCTCCATCACATGTATCAGAAGAGTCTCTGAACACTTTCACAGAGTTGCCCACATTCTTCAATCATCAGCTTCCCCCTGACATGTATGACAGCTGTAGAATTAGCAGTTTTCTTGGAACAAGATTACTTACAGCAAGAAGTCAACAAGCAAGGAGAAGGGGGAGCAGTTGATGAGGATATCTTGCACTTTCTCATGCTCCATGACTTTTGATGGCAGCTGAGCTACTTTTACATATGACTCAAGCTTTAAAGCAAAGACATTCTCCATTGATGCCAACTTCCTGTATTTCATTCATCATTGTCACTCAGTCTCTAATTAAGTTATTATTGTATCAGTCAATACTACTTCTGTTGATGGGTCTCAGCAGGGCTGGCCTTGCCATGAGGCGAACTGAGGTGGCCGCCTCAGGTGCCAGACTGTGGGGGGCGGCACTAGGACCCAGAATGTAGAAAATTGTGTCTGCTGCTGGTGCATATGTATTCTCTCTGCACTAGATGCACAGAGACGGTGGAGTGCTGTGCTGGAGGAAGGAGGGCACAAGAGACATAACAGGCAGGCAGGAGAAAAGGTGAGAGGGAATAACAGAAAGCAGCAGGAGCTGCAGGGAGAGAGAGGAGGAGGAACCTCTTATGTACCTCTCTAGCACCCCCACGAGCCTGGACTGATTAACACCAACTTCTCAGGGAGCTTCCTGTTTCCTGCTACTTCCCTGAACCCACTTGAGGAGAACAGGCAGTCAACTGAAGTAGTAGGAGCCAGTTAGGCCCTTAAGATGCTGACATCTTCCCTCGCTCAGGCCCTGCTACCAGCCTGCTTATTTGTCCCCTTCAACCAATCAGGTTAGGCCAAATGTTTACTGTGGTGGTTGTGGTTACTTTGAAATTATGATCTATGCACAGGTGCACAGCTCATATTCTCCGAATACAGCCAATTGTTCTAATTGTGGTTAATGTATTAGACACAAAACAGACTAAAGAAGCAGACTAAAGAAGTGCTTGGTTGCTTTACACCTTGACCACAAGTCCGTATCTAATTTTGCAAAGCTTGCTTTTTTGAAGCTGACCACAAGTCTACAATATTTCCTAGTTTGAACTTGCTACACTCACTCTGGTTGCTATGCTTCATCTTTGAGGCTTCTGGAAGTTTTAGGCCTAACATTGAATAAGCCTGACAATACTCTTGTTCAAATTATTCACAAAACCCTCGAGCTTTTTTTGTCCCATGCAGTTCTCATTCATTGAACTTGGTGGTCAGTGATGCAGCATCAGCTTCTAGTGAGGCTGCTGAATTTTTTAATGTAATTCAAAGCATCTATGTATTTTTCTCTGCATCAACTCATCGATGGCAAATTTTGAAGCAACATCTGGGAACATCCTCTCTGACACTGAAACCACTGAGTGCCACACGATGGGAAACTCGAGTGGAGGTGATAAAGCCTATCAAACACCAAATTGGGAAGCTAGATGATGCCATAGTTGCCATTATGGAGGATAATGCTATGACAGGAACTGTTCGTGGGAGAACACTGGCAGAGGAAAATGGAATCACCAGAAACATACGTAACTTAAAATTTCTGTGTGGCTTAGTGTTGTGGCATGACATACTGATTGAAATAAATGTTGTAAGCAAGAGACTCCAAGGTGTTGACCTTGATATATCTGGAGCAATGGCACAACTGGACAAAGCAAAGTCATACCTACAGTCTTACCGGTCAGATGAGGGATTTCAAACATTCTGAAGAGTGCACAGAAGTTGGAAGAGGAACTTCACACTGAAGCTATTTTCCCACCCATTCAAGAATACAAGAGTCACCAAAGAAGAAGACATTTTGATTACGGGGCATGGGATAATCCCATAAGAGACCCCAAACAATAATTTAAAGTTGAATTCTTTAACCAGGTGCTAGACTATGCACTACAGTCAGTTGAAGAACGTTTCATGCAGCTCAAGGAACACAGCAGTATATTTGGGATGTTGTATGATATTCCAAAACTCCTCACTATACCTGAAGAAGACCTACACCAGCAATGCAGAGCACTAGAGACAGTGTTGACACCATGATGACATGTACTATATTGATGCGAGTGATTTAGGTGATGAACTGAAAGCCCTTTCCAGATACATTTCAGCAGGATCAACTCCAAAGGCTGTTCTGGAATATATGTGCACAAATAAGATGACCACCCTCTTTCCAAATGCTTTTGTTGCTCTGCGCATACTTCTAACACTTCCTGTAACAGTTGCCAGTGGAGAACGCAGCTTCTCCAAGTTGAAGTTAATAAAAACACATTTACACTCCACAATGACACAGGAGAGGCTGGTCGGCCTTGCAACCATCTGAATAGAGCATGAGCTGGCCCAGACTGTGGACCTTCAGGAAGCAGTTCAAA